CATGTACATAGGTGTAGGCAAGAGATAAAACTCACAACACATGGACCCCAGGAACAGGAATGGGACTAGAGATCCCAAAAGGGTTGGGGGGAAGCCGGGGAGGGGGGCACCAATCACAATGAATGGCACATAACCACACACCCCCAGCCAGAAGAGAAGGGAGACAGAGGTTGGTGTGAAATTCGAAAATAATTAACCATCTACAATCTACCATGAGGGTTGTGGGGTGCGGGAGGAGGGAGGGGAAAAAAGAGGAGCTGATCCCAAGGGCTCAATGGAAAGTAAATGTCTAGAAAAGAACGATGGAATATATGTATGAATATCTCGGATACAATTGATGTATGTTTGCAGCAAGAGTTGTAAGAGTCCCCAATAAAATGATTTAAAAAAATCATACATACACATATGTGCATATGTTAAAAAAAAAAAAGACAGGGAAATGCACGTGGGTTAAGCCTCTACTGAATTTCCTCCGCTCAAAGACCAAGTATGTTAATAGCCTTCTATAATGCTGAGTGCATGGGAAAGTAGATTATTGCAAATGCGTGTAGGTTAAAATGTAATACCTTATCATTTGGTTTCCCTTTGATCCACTTAAAATTTGTTCTAGTTTTTAATATTTTCTATTTTCTTTTCGATTGAAGTTTTTCTGTTTTCCTGTTATTGTTGTTAGGTTTTTAAAAAAAACGTTTTTCTGCATATGAAATCCAGGATAGGTGAGTGTGTTAGAGACAGTAACTGGATTAATGGCTCCTTAGGGGAATGGGAGGGGAGGTTGGGGGAAAATGGGTAGCTAATAAAGATGAATCTAAGAAGGAAGATAATATTCTGAAATTGATTGTGGTGATGATTGTACAACCCTCTCAATGTGATTGAGTTCAAGGATATGTGAATTATATGTTTTAATATAAAATAAGTGTTTGTTTTTTTAAAAACTGGTTTTTAAAAGATGCTTTCAAAGAATGACTTTGAGAATAATTGGGGGGGGGGGGGGCGGTGTACTTGGCCAAAGCAGCCCCCGACAGCCAACAGCAACCTACAGAGAAGCCTTTACAAACCTGAAAGCGAGGCTCCAGCACACTGCCTGCTGGGATTTGCAGTCCTTCCACTGGAGACCGCAATTGCAAGGTGCTTTGGGAACGTCAGACGGGGGCGGGGTGTGTGTGGGTGGGGTGGGGGGGGGTGTTTCACATCTCGCGATGTTCCCTTACGGTTCCCCCCCACCCCACGGCCCTTTGACCCCCCCTTTCCTAACGTGTTTTTCAAATCTACCAATGAACACATAGCTTCGGCTCGAACCAGCCAATCGGAGTGCTGAGTCACCGGGAAATTTAAATCGCGCCGGCCGGCTGCACGAGCCCTACTGTCTCCAGTCAGCGCCGCATTGGGCGACTAGTGAGCCGTCCGACCTGCAGCCGCTGAGCCGTCGCTCTGCCTCCGGTGCGAGTCCGGCCGCTCCGCAGGTACGAGCCCAGGCCGCAGCTCGCTCGCCGGGACCCCGGGCTGGCCCCAGGCGCACCCCCCGTGTGAGAGGCGCGACGCCGGGGAGACGGCGCTGGCTCCGGCCTCCTCAAGAGAAGGAGGCCTCGGCGCGCTGTGTCGCGGCGCGGAGCCTGCGCTTCCGGGCGCCGGGGCCGCACTAACGGTCACCGGAGACCCTAAGCGCCGCAGGGCAGGGCAGGGCGGAGGCCCGAGGCCCGGAGCTCAGCCCCACCGCGGCTCCGACCGGCGCCGGGGGCCTGGGCCGGGCGGGGCTGCCGAGGGCGGTTCAGGCGTGCGGTCGGCCGGCCGGCCGGCCGGCGGGGTCCCGTCGGCAGGGGTGCGGGGCAGGTGGGGAGGGGGGCTCTGCCGTGGCTCGCCTCCGAGATCGAGCTGAAGGCCCCGGGCCGCGGCGAGGCTCAGCCGCTGTCGGCCTCATCACGAGCCTGCGCTCGGGAAATCCCTGGGAATTAAAAACGGGGTGCGGGGCGCCCGAGGCGCCGGCCGGCGTCACCCGCTCCCATTGTTGGCTGCGCAGGCTCCAAAACGGTCGTGGGTGAGCCCCGGCGGCGGAAAAGAACCCGATGCCGGCCATTTGGAGACACCCAAAGTGGGAAGACGGAGAGCGAGGCTCCCGGTGACCTGAACCGATGAGCTCCAGGCCGTGGGCCTCCACTGGGAGATGAGGCGGCGCCACCATTTGGTTTTCAGTGACCTGTGTGGACTCGAGTCCAGCTGCGATGGCCAGTGTGCCTGTTTGTTGGCAGCTGCGTGCGGGCTGTGCTGCGCACGCCCTGGATTTTAACGACATCGCCTGTAAGAACGGCCGAGAGCACTCATTTTTCTATGTTGATAACCCGTTCAGGTGATGTCTCGGTCAAGGCCTGCATAAAACGTTGCAATTTCACATCTTTCTGGGTTCGTTTTTCATGATTTATAATTAAAATACTAAGAAATTGAAAATTACGTAAGTGGTTCGCATTATATTTTTGCTTAAGGTCTTGGCTCTTTAGAGGGGAAGGGACAGTGGTCAAAAAGCTTTCCTAATGCTGGAAACATGAGGATCGGTCCCTGGTGGTGGGGTGGTTAACCCTTGGCTGCTAACTGAAAGACTGACCCACCAGTCTGGGCTGTCAGCATGCCTGGGGGAGAAGGATGTGGCAGTCTGTTCTGTAAGGATTTCCAGGCCTGCTGCTGGAAGCACTTCTACTCTGGTAGCCAGGAGGCGGGATTAACTTGGGCGGTGCGTTTGGGTTTTGTTTGTCGGTTTGGTGTACTACATAAAGTGTGGTTTGCACATATGCTTGGAAAATGTATTCGTAAGAAACTAAGGATAAAAGGCATTTTTTTCCTCTTCTCTCCCCCATCTTCCAGCTTTCTCCCTTTGTCTTGCAACCATGTCCAGCAATGAGAATGCAAATTCACCAGCTGCCCGGTTTAACAGATTCAAGAACAAGGGCAAAGACAGCTCGGTGAGGACTTTCTGTTGCTTCCTGAGGAGAGGGAGTTGTTTGGGGATGAAGAAATCAAGGGGATTAAAAATGCTCTCACTTGATAAGAAAGAGTGATGGTGATAAAGTAAAGCAGTATGCTAATCTTTGTTGCAGGAAATGAGGCGGCGCCGCATCGAGGTTAATGTGGAGTTGAGGAAAGCTAAGAAGGATGACCAGATGTTGAAAAGGAGAAACGTCAGCTCCTTTCCTGATGACGCTACGTCTCCACTGCAGGAAAACCGAAACAACCAGGTAAATAGGCCTCAGTTTGGGAGTGCTGATAAACCCAGAAAACGCATAGGGGACTTTTCTTAGAAGCTTGAGTAACACTTCTGGACCCAGGAGTGAACTATCAGATCTGTGAAGATTTTTCCCTTTTTTCATTCATAATTGAGTGAAAATTTCCAGATCTTCCAAGTTCTGCATTTTGTCTGCTTGCTGGGAGCCTCACCCAGATTTTTTTAGGTATGTGGGATATGTGTTGAGCTGGTCACCACAGGTTAGATGTTCGAACCCATGAGCTGCTCCTTGGGAGAAAACAAGGTTGTTTGCTCCCATCGAGATATACAGCCTCAGAAACCCAAAGGGTTTCAACCCGAAGTCCTCAGTGGCAGTGAGTTTGGATTTCGGACAGAAAGTGTCCACTGTGTAACTTATTACTGTGGAGGCCAGTTTGACCCATAATGACTCCTTGTGACAGGGCAAAACTGTCCCACAGCATTGTCGTGGCTGTCGTCTTTATGGAAACAGATTGCCAGCTCTTTCTCCTATGATTTGAATCACCAACCACTTGGTTAGCAGCCGAGCTCTTAATTATGTGCGCCACCAGGCTCCTGATTTATTTCTATTACCAATTTTGTTCAGGCTCATTTTCCTCCTGAAGGGTTTTCAGTAGCCTCTTAATTTTTTTTTTTTTTGTTTATTTGGGGTTTTTTAAATCATTTTATTAGGGGCTCATACAACTCTTAATCACAATCCATACATACATCAATTATGTAAAGCACATTTGTACATTCATTGCCCTCATTCTCAAAACATTTGCTCTCCACCTAAGCCCCTGGCATCAGTTCCTCATTTTTCCCCTCCCTCCCTGCACACCCCTCCCTCATGAACCTTTGATAATTTATAAATTATTATTTTGTCAAATCTTACCCTGTCCAACATCTCCCTTCACCTACTTTTCTGTTATCCGTCCCCCAGGGAGGAGGTCAATGTAGATCCTTGTAATCGGTTCCCCCTTTCCAACCCACCCCCCTCCACCCTTCCAGTATCTCTGCTCACACCACTGGTCCTGAAGGGATCATCTGCCCTGGATTCCGTGTGTTTCCAGTTCTTATCTGTACCAGTGTACATCCTCTGGTCTAGCCAGACTTGTAAGGTAGAATTCGTGTCATGATAGTGAGGGGGAGGAAGCATTTAGGAACTAGAGGAAAGTTGTATGTTTCATCATTTTGCTACATCACACCCTGACTGGCTCGTCTCCTCCCTGAGACCCTTCTGTAAGGGGATGTCTAGTTACCTACAAATGGGCTTTGGGTCTCTACTCCGCACCGCACCCCCACATTCACTATATGATTTTTTGTTCTGATGATGCCTGATACCTGATCCCTTCGACACCTCGTGATTGCACAGGCTTCTGTGCTTCTTCCATGTGGGCTTTGTTGCTTCTGAGCTAGATGGCTGCTTGTTTACCTTCAAGCCTTTAAGACCCCAGATGCTATATCTTTTGATAGCCGGGCACCATCAGCTTTCTTCACATTTGCTTATGCACCCGCTTTTCTTCAGTGGTTGTGTCGGGAAGGTGAGCATCATAGAATGCCAATTTAATAGAAGAAATTCTTGCATTGAGGGAATACTTGAGTCGAGGCCCAATGTCCCTCCGTTACCTTAATACCTAATAAATTTGCATGTATACATGCCTTTATCTAGACCTCTATAAATGCCCTTTGCCTCCTAGCTCTTTCCTCTATATCCCTCGACTTTCCTCTTGTCCCACTATCATGCTCAGCCTTAATTTGGGTTTCAGTAATTCCTCTTAGTTACATTACCCTGAGCACACCCTACCAGGCCTCCTACACCCTCCTCACCGATTTGGATCACTTGTTGTTCCCTTGTCCCTGGGTTTGTCAACACAACACTACCTTTCCCCCAACCTCCCCCTTTCCCATGTACCCCTGGAACTGTCAGTCCCCTTGTTTTCTCCTCCAGTTTGTTCATCCAACCTATCTTATTTAGATAGACCGGAGATAATAACATGCGCAAAAATAAGACAGAGCAAAACCAAGCAACAATATACAACAAAACAACAACAACAAACCAATGACAAACACAACAAGAAAGAAAAGCTTGTAGTTAGTTCAAGGACTGTTTGTTGGCCTTTAAGAGTGTTTTCCAGTCCAGTCTGTTGGGGTACCATGTCCTGATCCCAAAGTCCACCTTCAACATTCCCTGGGGACCTCACTGCTCCTTTCCCTTTGCCTCAGTGTGGTGGATCAGATCGGGCGCAATTCCCACACTGTGTCTCCGGTGTTGTCCCCTGTAGGGCTATGGGTCAGTGAGGGATGTCGTGTCTCATACTGGGGCCGGCCATGTGGTCCTATCTGGACTGGCAGCTCTAATCAAGAACATCATCCTCAAAGCCTGGTGGGCCAGAATGTAGTAGCCTCATAATTTATTTTCATCTTCCTTCTATGCTACATACTAGTGCTGTGCTCCACCCTCCCCCAAATGCTGGTTTAAAGTTCTCTCTGCTCAACACTTTTATAGTTTTAAAACCCTCCTTAACATTGAAGACCTCACATAGTTCTTCAAATGGACAGCGTTCATCTTTTGTTACAAGACACTGGGCACTTGGGCGCCGCTTTCTTCACATCGCGCTTTCCATAGTATTCTACATCATCAGCGGGTTCTGATGGCTTTTCTTTCTGGATTCGCCTGAGTGCTACACTGGTGGTTTTGGTCAGCTTAGCAGGGAAGACTTCCTTGTCTCAGAATTGCTGTGATATTCAGCTCCTACACCAAGAGGAAATGCTATGAAACATGATGTCTCTTTTTTTAAATTTTTTTATGATGTCTCTTTTTATTCCTGAATCGTTGTTTCTCTACTTGCTACACTTTGCCTTGTTAGGCTGCAAATGCCTAGGTTTCAGAAAGGGCTGTTGCTTGAGTTTCACCATCAGTTTGCTTCTTACCCTTCTTCGGACCTGTGAATTGCACCATAGCACCCTCACATTTGCAGCACAATACCATGGTATAGTGGTTACAAATTGGTAATCTAGTAGCCACAAGGTCTGCAGTTTGAATCCACCAGCCACTCTGGGAGAAAGACAAGCTTTCTACTTCTGTAAAGAGTTAACAGTCTCAGGAACTCACAAGGGCAGTTCTATCCTGTCCTATCGGGTCCCTGTAAGTCGGCATCAGCTTGATGGCCGTGAGTCATGAGTTTACCTTGGCAATGTTTATATTACACACTTAGATGTGAACATTGCCAACACGTTGCCTGTAACTATCCCTTTCTCTCAAGGAAGCATATTGGATGCAAGTGATTGAGATTATGATGGAAAAAACTTTAATCTGCCATAATTATTTTTTAATCACAATTTTTTTAATGGCCCATTGCTTGGACATCCCAAATGTAACTCCCATGAATCATGAGTTTTGAAAACTGTTGTTGATATAAAATAGTCATATGTGATTAACAGATGAATAGTCAAAGGACTAAAGTTCTCCTTACTATGTAAACTTGAAGATGTCTTCGTAGTGACAAGGATAATTTGGTGACATACTCCGCTTTTCTCACAGGGCACTGTAAACTGGTCTGTGGATGACATTGTCAAAGGCATAAATAGCAACAATTTGGAAAGCCAGCTCCAGGCTACTCAAGCTGCTAGGTAAGTCTTGCCTGCTCTAACCTGGGTAGCTTACAAAATTGGACATGAAGTGTGAGGGCACAGTGTGCGGAGGAGGTGGACATAGGGTGCCATCGGTCGAGAAAAAGCAGTTGGCTTCCCTTTCTAAGGAGTATTTCAAGCTAGCAGCTAGGGAAGGAGCGTCATCAGAATTAGTACAGCCACCCGTCCATTTAGAGTCTGATCCCCACCACACACAAACACTTGTAATGTCCATAACAGAAAGGCTTATTCTCTGACCATTATCAGAAAAAAACAACACTTGATCATGGAAACGATGTTCAACATTACTTCGCAGTCAGGGAAATGGGACTTAAATTGGCTCTGAGTGTGCAGCCCTGTCAGATTGTCAAAAGAGCTAAGGTCTAGAGTAGAGTTCTGTGAGGAGGCCAAGGTGGGAAGGGCGATCTGCCTTTTTGGTAATACTTCCATTTTGTACAAACATAATTTGTTAATCAGCTTTTTGTTTCTCCTCTAGGAAACTGCTTTCCAGGGAAAAGCAGCCCCCTATAGACAACATAATACGAGCAGGCTTGATTCCGAAATTTGTGTCCTTCTTGGGCAGAACTGACTGTAGCCCCATTCAGTTTGAGTCTGCTTGGGCACTCACTAACATTGCATCTGGGACATCAGAACAAACCAAGGCTGTGGTCGAGGGAGGAGCAATCCCAGCATTCATTTCTCTGTTGGCATCGCCGCATGCTCACATCAGTGAACAAGCTGTTTGGGCTTTGGGCAACATTGCAGGTACTTGAAAGGGAAATTTGTTTGACTGAATATATCTGATCAGCTACACAGTAATGGTGATCCTTGGCACACGTTTTGAATGGACCCTGGTTAGAGGTGAAAGTGGTATCTCAGGAAAATGGGGCACTTCCTAAGGTCACTAAACACAGTTGGTGCTGACAGGTACATATGATTGATTGGCTTCCCTTGTTCTGCCTGCCCCCAGGTGATGGCTCACCTTTCCGAGACTTGGTTATCAAGTATGGTGCAGTTGACCCTCTGTTGGCTCTCCTTGCCGTTCCTGATATGTCTTCTTTAGCAGTAAGTTCCTAGATAGGAAAGCTTCCTACGTAGCTCGCTTCTCCTTCTCCACTGCTGCACCACCACGACGGGAGCGGCTCATGATTTGTTACTCTTGTTCTTTCCCTCAGTGCGGTTACTTGCGGAATCTTACCTGGACACTTTCAAACCTCTGTCGGAACAAGAATCCCGCACCCCCATTAGATGCTGTTGAGCAGATTCTCCCTACCTTAGTTCGTCTTCTGCATCACGATGACCCAGAAGTGTTGGCTGATACCTGCTGGGCCATTTCCTATCTTACTGATGGTCCAAATGAACGCATTGAAATGGTTGTGAAAACAGGAGTTGTGCCCCAACTTGTGAAACTTCTTGGAGCGACTGATTTGCCCATTGTGGTAAGATGTTAATTTTCACATTAGTATATAAGGTATAAGCATAACTAGTTGCTGCTAATAGTGAAACATTGCTTATTTTATGTCATGGTGCCCTTTTTAAAGCTTTTTGGATACAGCTTAAAAAAATATTACAACACTAGAAAAATAAAACTACTGTCAACATCAACTCCCCCCCCCCCCCCCTTTTTTTCAGACTCCTGCACTGAGAGCCATAGGGAATATTGTCACGGGGACGGATGAGCAGACGCAGGTTGTGATCGAGGCAGGAGCCCTGGCTGTGTTTCCCAGCCTGCTGACTAACCCCAAAACAAACATTCAGAAGGAAGCCACCTGGACAATGTCAAACATCACAGCAGGCCGTCAGGACCAGATACAGCAAGTGGTGAACCATGGATTGGTCCCATTCCTCATCGACATTCTCACAAAGGTAGTACAACCTTAGCGCTCACAAAAGATGGTTGGCATTTACGTTTTTTGTGGCTGGGCATTGGTAGAGCTATGCTTGGTGTGATTCGGAGACCCTTTTCATTTAAGGTTGGATGAAACCCAGGGCACACTTTCATTGTTGGTAAAAGAATGCTTCAGGAATCTTGTTTTGTACCACCATACAATTAAACCCTCTTCCTTACTGTTCATTAGTCGGACTTTAAAACTCAAAAAGAAGCCGTCTGGGCTGTGACCAACTATACAAGTGGCGGAACAGTGGAACAGATTGTCTACCTTGTGCACTGTGGCATAATCGAACCATTAATGAGCCTTTTAACCGTGAAGGACACCAAGATTCTTTTGGTTATTCTGGATGCCATTTCCAATATCTTTCAAGTAAGTCCTCCAGCAAGGTCGGTGTCAGTGTGAGTTTGGGTCGATGATAGGTACACTATTTAAATGGAGGGGTGGGCAGCTACTCAGTAGTAGTACACAGGATCAAAATGTGTGCTAATGTACTTGCGATGTTTTATGTGACACGTGATCATAAAATACGTGAGTTTTTAAATATGTGGTGGTTATGGACAAAATTCATACTGGCTTCTTTCATCAATATCTTTAATGCATTTTGGTGAAATGACATTTGAATCACTTAGTTATCTAGACCCATCACTACTTGTTCTGAGCATGCCTGCACAGGGTACGGTCTCAGTGCTTGATGGTTGGTAAGCCCTGCTCACCAACTGTGAACTTCAGTTAAGAAACTTGCAGATCTAGAACTTGAGTCTAGGATTATATCCTTAGTGAAAGTGGTATCATGATGTGGCCAGTTTCCCCACTCCCAGTCACCCAACCCCTAGATTACAGTGAAACAAATCATATACTTCCTTATCTCCCGGGAAAGTAGTCTTAAAATCCAACCGCAATAACATTCTCAGAAGTAATTTCTTGGTGTCCACAAAGATGGCAGGCAGGAAAGTGCATTTCTTACACTTCATAGAGTGGACTTGCTCTAGGACCCTGTTCTCCACGGGTGATAGCTGGGTTCTTTACAAGATAGTATTTTCCTTCGCCCAGATCGGTTAAAATGTTGCCTGGGTGATTTTGATGTACAAAAAGGTCACAGTTGAAATGTAGGTATGATCTTGAGTAAGAGCTAGGTGCTGGAGAATCACTGGAGAGGCTGGCAGGTGCGGGGCTGAGTCTGGGATCTGTTCCTAACACTTATGAACGTTTCCTCACTGAAACAGGCTGCTGAGAAAATTAATGAAACTGAGAAACTTAGTATAATGATCGAAGAATGTGGAGGCTTGGACAAGATTGAAGCCCTGCAAAACCATGAAAATGAGTCTGTGTACAAGGCTTCCTTGAACTTGATTGAGAAGTATTTCTCCGTAGAGGTGAGTAAAGGGTGGCAGAGCTCACTAACACCGTGGAAAACACCCACGTAAGGACAAGCTCAGTAGATCCTTTTTTCTCTTCGTACTTAACTTTAAAGACAACAAATTAGCAATTTAAGTAGGACATAGCATACCATTTGCTTCTCTAATGTTGATTGATGATGATGCAAACCATTTACTTGTAAATGAACGGCCTTGAGACTCTCACAGTATCTGGAAGAGTAAGTTTAGGACTGTCAGTTAGAATAGATGTGGATGGGAAAATGGGCCAGTCCCACGACCGTAGTCTGAAAAGTGCACTTAGGGAGGAGGGAAATCTCAATTTCTTATTTCTGTCATGGGGCTTCAAAAACCTTATAGGAAAATTCTATTTAATAGCATTTCTTAACCCTTCCGGAACCTCCCCCTTCTAGGCAGGCTCAGAAGTGTCCCTTCAGAATCGGGGTGTGTTGTGTCCTGCATGTGTGTACACATGTGCACGAAAATTACACATTTTTAATATGCTTCCAGGAGGAAGAAGATCAGAATGTTGTTCCAGAAACTACCTCTGAAGGATATGCCTTCCAAGTTCCTGATGGCACCCCTGGGACCTTTAACTTTTGAGATTGTACAGCTGAGTCCTAAGGTTGTTTGTTGTGTACCTTGTTTGGTATAAGTTTGTCTTAATTCTTTCTCTACTAAGAATCTTTATAAATGTGATTTGTTTATGTAGCACTTTTTACAACAGAACTATACTTGAACAGTTCCAGACTGTATATACTGTATGAAGCCTGTCTCCTCTATCAGTGGGTTTCTTGTTTCTGTGTGGAATTTCATATCTTGCAGTGACCTGTAAATAAAGATTAAGTTCCACCCTTTCATTATGGCTTTGTGGTTTCCAATTTGTGGTTGTCGAGTTGCACATGAAGAATAACCCAACATAATTGATGAGCATGGACCTCGGGTAACCTGAAGTGGCTCTGGTTGTAGATGTCATTTGATGTCATCAAGGGCACAACATGAGTGATGCTTTCTGCCGGCTTCTGGGTTGCCTAGCCGTGCTGTTTCCTCTGGGTAAATGAGATCCTTCAGCTGATTTTTTTCTAATTCACTGGCCAAGCGGTGGGCTTTGGGCTTACAAGGGGGGTTGTCCCTCATTGACATCAAAATGGCATCGTGGTTATGTGTTGGGCTGCTAACCACAAGGAGAGCAGGTCAAAACCACCAGCTGCTGCTTTGGACACGAGGCTTTCCGTTAGCCTAACGAGTTAGTCTCCCAGCTCCACTGATAGGGTTCTGCCCTGACCTGCAGGGTTACTAGAAGTCAGGACTGACTTGATGTCAGTGAGTTTGGTGGGTTGGAGACATCAAGGCTGAGAGGGCCAAGTGGTGCAGCCTTGACACTGGAATTACCTGGGAACATTTACCTCGGAATGTGGTTTGGCTGCTAAGGGATCAAGTCAAGAGTATGTTTACTTAAATCCCATGAGTTTTTTTCTTTGTGGTCTGGGTTGAAAGCCATGACTAGGGCTGGGGTTCTCAGACTTTAAACGGGGCCAGTTCACTGTCCCACAGACCGTTGGAGGGCCGGACTATAGTTTAAAAAAAAACTATGAACAAATTCCTAAGCAGGACAGGCAGTAGCAGCAAAAACAAAAGGCAGGCCGGATAAATGTCCTCAGCGGGCCTCATGTGGCCCACGGGCCGTAGTTTGAGGACCCCTGCCCTAGGGATTAGTTATACTGTTGGTTGGCTTACCAAGAAGTGGGTTCTGGGAAGAAATGCACTACCTCAACCCATACCACCCTGTTGGGACAGTCACGCTACCTCTACGTTTCCAAGCCGGGAAATCTTAGCTGCCCTCTCGCCCAGAGACGAGCTGGTGGGTTCCAATCACCGTCCTTTGGGTTCACATCTGGGTTGCGTTTTAGTTGCTTTTGTTGTGATGATCCTGAAGAATAGGCCCAGCTGCTCCATATGAGGAGTAGGCTGCCTCTTCTCCAACCTCGCCGCCCAGCCCGAGACCTGCAGCACCAGGGCTCCGGAAGGCCTGAGGAAAACGGACTGCGGGCTCAGGAGACTGGTCCCTGCGGACACACGTTCTCCATAGAAGTTACAAAAGTAAGGAGGTGAGAGTGTTTAGTAAAATTTTTTTCCCCAGACATTACTGGCATAATGCAACAAACTTCCCATTTATCCTCTCATGGCAAAGCGTGCATGGAACAAGGTCTTGCCTTTTACAGGTCCCAGCTTTTGAAAGCACCCTGGTGGAACATGGAACACGCCATTTAACTCTTTGCTTCTGGCCAGTGCTCCCACCACCAAGTTCCACACATGGCCCAAGACCAAAGATCAAATCCTGCCCCTCAATGATTTTTAAATGGTTCTAGAGCCATAAATATATTTATACAAACAAATCTCTTATCAAATAATGCCATGAGTTTTTCTTGTTTTATTTCAGAGCCACATGTATGTACCAAAAGAGCCACATATGGCTCTTAAGCTGCAGTGTGCTGACTTGGGCTAGATCCTAGGTTCCCAAGTTTACTTGGCTTACTCCCGCCCCTTTCAGGATAAAATAACTGTCTCCTGGTATAATAGCCCATAATCTCAGGTAAATTAGGGTATCCGCTTTTGCCAATCCCCTTGGATCCTTCCAGTACCCCCAGGGAGTGGTATTGCCCACTTGGGAAACACTGGGCTGGATGATTCTGAGGGTGGATTGTGTTTGGAGCCCTGGGTCCTGGGCTCACTTCTGTACGAAGGGGAGAGGCTGAGAGCACCTAATCTCCAGCTTGAGCTCCCTCTGGTAGCTCGGTTCACCTGTGTCCTACCCGTTCCCCAGTGCAAAGCACTTCTGGAAGAGTCCATGGGTCCCGAAGCCTTCATTTAGGAAAAAGTTAATGTCAGAAAACCCTGGTTTTGCTATAAGTGGAGCTTCCTAGCTTCAGAGGGGTTAACCCAGGGTCTAGGGGTGTTAAGAACACTGGCACTGAGTTAATTCTGACTTGGCGACCCTGTAGAACAGAGTAGAACCGACCTAAGACTAAATCTTTACAGGAGCAGACAGCCTTAGTTTCTGCAGAGGGCAAGAGGGTTTGAACCACCAACCATGCAGTTAGCAGCCCAATGGCCTAATCCATAGCCTCCTGGGTGCCACCAAGTTATGCCACTAAGGGGTGACTAAATTTAAGGTCATAATTGGGAAGCAGCTGATTAAAACAAATTTATATTTTAGATAAAATTCTTAACATGCTGTTTTCCTTGGACTTGCCCAAAAGGCTTTTGGATGTTGTTCTGAAACTTGTCTGAAGTCAAGATTATCTTTGAGAACATGCTGTCAGAACCAGCTTAAGTCACGATAGAACCCTAGTCATGAACAACTCTCCTTTCAAAAGTGCTGATGTCTAAATTGCTAGCAACCTGTTAAAGTAACCAAATAGTTACTGCCAACTTTAAAGGTGACTTCATTGCTATCTACCTTTACCTTTAACTGGTTGCTTCATTTTTGTAAATGTGTAAGGATGAAGAATAGTACTTCTAATTACATGAAGCAAATATCAAAGTAAAAACCTTTTGCTAGGATAGTCCTTAAGGGGTGACATTCAGAAAGCAATTGAACTGTGTTCAGTGTTTTACCAAGTACAGTAGGACCCTGGTGCTCGACCGCATCAGTACGGTGACATTTGCATTTCAACCCAAAATGTTGAGAAAAGTTTGCATTGAAACTCGATCAAAACATCGGAATTCAACTGGACGCACGTGATCTGTGTAAACAAAGGCAGTTCATGTTTTGGTCATTCGGTGTGAGTTGGCGTTGTTAGCACGAGCTTAAACTTTTTGTGGCTGTGTTCCAAGCATTTTCTTAGTTTTTGTGGCTTTTTGTACTGCTTTTAGATAAAAAAACAGGTCCTAAGTAAGATTTTTTTTAACGATCATCATGATAAGGAACTGGTTAACCGTGTTATTGATGTTGTTGATAATTTAGAAAACAAAGAAACGCCAACAGCAGACCGCATTAGGCAGATTTTTTTTTCAGGGAAAGCCAACCAGGTCCTAATGAAAAAGGCAAAGAAAGGTAAAAACCTGAAAAGCAGCTACCAGTTGATTTTATGAAATGGGATTTCCCTTCCAAACAATGAGTCTCTCTGCATGCCTCCTCTCCACATCCGTGTCCACAGATCCAGATCCTCATCCGTCTCAAGGTATGGGTCATACTGCAGTTGTTAAAAACTTTTTTTTTAATCTCAGTTAACCTTATTTATTGTCTGCATAGGTAATAAGAATATTTATGTGGCATATCAGAAACATCAACTTTAAACATACAATCATAGCACTGTATATTATCTTATTTAGAAAATTGTTCTTTCCTCTGTTTAACTTAGTCTAAGATTCAATCAGATAGCTGTGGTATTGTGGCGTGATTTTTTTTAAATCATTTTATTAGGGGCCCATACAACTCTTATCACAATCCATACATCTATCAATTGTATAAAGCTCATTTGTACATTCATTGCCCTCATCATT